TCACTGTGTGTCATTACAGCATACCAAATGAATTTCCCATCATGAATACAGTGTGTCTTGGGTTGGCGGAGACATCACCGGTGTTGCTGCTGTTCGTGGCAGGATCTCAAAGTTATGTATGCCAAAAATATTTTTTTCAGATATACCCAGATATGTGTGTACACATGTACATGCATGCACAATATAAACTTCATATTTAATAGAATTAGTAAGAGATGTTGATTGATGATATTGGATCCTATCTCAATACTATCTATTTCATTTGGGTGGTAATATATTGATCGATTAAACATATCTTTTTAAGCTCTTAATCATTTTTCTTCTCTCCTTTTTTTACTTCTCATATCTGAGATAAACTTTATCTGATAGTTTTAACTAATTGATTATTGATTACACATCCAGTTATGCATTATACTAAAGTTTTATAAGTAATTGTTTCAAAGTTTGAAATACCCACAGGCCAAAATTCAATAATAAAAAAATTGAATCTTGGAAAAAATCATTTTTGATATCATGTATCAGGTAATATGTCAAAAATAATATTTGATTCTCCTGTAACCTACACTTGGAGATAAACATTTTAGAAATCTTAAAATACCTATTTAATCACTCAAGATTGTTTTTTATTAGAGAATTTAAAAAATCATTTTTAATTCAAGTATATTATTTTCTAACTGAACTTATGATTGATAACCAGAATAAATAAATTGTTTTTATTTTATTTCTTTATTTGTTTACATTCATTCACTGTACATCATTATAGCATACAAAATGAGATTTTTCCATTCAGAATACATTGTATATTGGCTCAATCAAGCACATCAACATATGTGTTATTGTCAACAAATCATTTTCCATTTCTTGTTTTCTGTATATTTTGCCTTTTTCCCCATTCTTGATTCCCTATCTCACCCTCTGCCATCTCCCACCCTCCTCCCACACTGTGTCTGGTATCTATTGTTGCTTTCTATGCCTCCCCCATTTTATTGTTTCACTAAATATCTTAATAAATCTAAATATTTTCAATAGCAAGCACAGCTGATATATACATATCCATGAACACAAGACTGACTTTAGGCATAAACCTCAGTGAATAGAATGAACATACTGTAAAGTAGCACCTAACTAGGGCTATATAGCTTAACTGCAGTCATCAAATAGGTATTTCTAATGCCTTTTGCCTTTTTTTTTCTGAAAAATTTTTTTTTAATTTACATTCATTGCCTGAGCATCATCACAACATACTAAATGTGGTTTCCCATCTAGAATAAACTGCATAGTGGCTTAATCATGCATGTTATCATCGATAATATTCCATTTCTACTTTCGTATATATGTTTTTTACCCCATGTCTAGCCCTCTGCCCTATTCCACTCTCTTATTACACTATCTCTGCTGTCTACAGTTGTCTTCAATCCCTTTTCCCCCAACATTTCGTTGATCACACAATATCATAAGTAATCTAACTACTTTCAATAGCAAGATCAGCCGATGGTTTCAAGAAAAGCAGTTTTGAACTGGTAAGGATATTTCTTTGAAACTTAAAGCCTAGAAACAGGTTAGTATTCTGTTCAAATAGTCGGAACATGAATCTATTGATAGCTGAAGACAGGACAAAAATCCTTAAAACCGGACAACAAAGCTTAGAAGAAAAGCAGCAATATTTTAGTCAAGTCGTAGAATACTGTTTCATCAGTTCAGTCTCATGTACTTAATCTTTCTTCTGTATCTGTTGAGGTTCGATGTTCCAGATTGAAATCTGGGATGTAATACTCAACTCCAGCTTTTGGCCCTACAATTAAGTTGCCCATTTTCTTAGTTTCTGAACTCTTATTTCTGTGTGTCTGCATTTAATTTTACTGACATAGCACTCCCTTAAGAACTTCTTGGAGATCCGGTCTGGTGCTGGTAAATTCTTTCAGGTTTTGTTTATCTGGGAAAGTTCGTGTCTTTTCTTCCCAAATGAACGATAACCTTGCTGGGTACAGAATTCTCGGTTGAAATTGCTTTTCCCTTAATACTTTGAATACATTTTCCCATTCTCTCCTCGCTCTCATTGTTTCCGATGAGAGGTCTGCCGTTAGTCTGATGGGATACCCTTTGTAGGTAACTTGCCTTTTTTCTCTTGCCAGTCTTAGTATCTTGTCTTTGTCTGTGGTTTTGGTCAATCTGGCTATAATGTGTCTTGGAGAAGATCTTCTTGGGTTGATTCTATTTGGGGTCCTCTGTATTTCTTGGGACTGAATCTTTGAGTGCCTCTCCAGGTTTGGAAAATTTTCTTGTAAGATTTCATGGAATAGATTATCAATGCCCTTATGAGTCTCTTCACCTTCTGGGATGCCTATTATCCGGATGTTTGGACGTTTGATGGTATCTAGTACTTCTCGCATATTATTCTCAAATTTTTGGGCCATTTTCTCAGTCTTCGCGGTGGATTTTTCTAGGCCAACCATTTTCTCTTCTACATTAGAGATTCTATTTTCTGTATGATCTAGTCTGCTTTTAATACTTTCAAGGGAGATTTTGACTTCTTGTATTATAGCCTTCATCTCTAACAGTTCCATCTGATTCTTTTGTAAAGTGTGAAATTCCTCTTTTAGATCTAGCATGAATTTCCTCACCTCCTGGAACTCTTCAACTCCTTTCTCCTTCCTCTTCAGCAGTTCCTTGTCTCTCTTCTCTTCCATCTCTGTTAGCTTTGCCATTATGAATGTTCTGAATTCTTTATCAGACATTTCCATGATTTCCATTGAACTGTGTGTGGATAAAGAGGAGCTATCCTTTTCCCTTGTGGGAGAGGTATTTTCCTGCTTCCCCATATTTCTTGTGGTCCTGCAGCGATTTCTAGTCATCTGGTGGATGGTCGGTTTCTTCCCAAACTTGGAAGTTCAATCAGAGGGTCGAGGAGTGTGCAGAAAAAGAAGCAGAGAGAGGGAAACAATACCAACAGCAAAAAAACAGACAAGATCTTGAGTGAATGACTTCAAACACTGGAACCTGAGTCTCCATGATCCAGGAGAGGCTACCAAGGTTCATGCATCAGATCACTCCAGGCCTTGTGGAGAAGAGGCAGGTGCCCACAATGTTCCCAGGACTGGTTCTCACGCACAGCACAAACACTCCATAATTATGTATTTTCCTGTACCATAGGTGATCTTTTCTTCTGTAATGCTGGAATGGCTAATCATATTTTCTTTGGTAAATGACAGCTGACAGATACATGATTCTAATGAGGAGAATTAATCAATGGTGCAGGGATCCAATCAATATCTATATCGCATATAGGCATAGAGAAATATAAGAGGTAGTTTAACCAACGGAGCATTGGCTTACTCATACTTAGATATATGTCAATTGTTTAATAAGATAACTGGAATTTACTAAGTGTTCAGTAATAGA